ACTTTCCAGTTGTGTTTTATTTTTATTTTATTTTTTATTTATTTTATTGTTTGTTTAACCATTTTTTCCCCATCTGTCTTCCTAACTCAGGACTTGAAATTCAGTGTCCATCCTTTAGGACTCAACCCACCCCAATAAGGTATGTGTTGTGACCCCAGACTTTTCCTCTTTGCATTGACTCAGCCAAATAAATATTTACTATATTAAATTGAGCTTAAATCTGTTTACAGATGGCTGTAAGAATGAGGGAATGGCGAAAACGCAAAACAGACCTCAGTCTACTACTTCGTTATTCTGACAGTGAGGAAGATCCTCAAAACATTGACATGAATAGAAACAGTATGCCTGTGACCCAAAATTGTTCTGACAGTGACAATGTTATTGGAGTTTCAGATAGTTTTGACTGTGACACTGGTATGGGCTATTGGTCCACCGACTCTGAAGAGGAGACAAATGATGATGCTGAGGTGACMAGCAGCTTTGAAGATGACCTGAGACGATGGGCTTTAGAGCACAAATTGACACACCAAGCACTAAATGGTTTATTGGCCATTTTAAGGAAGCAAGGTCACATATTGCCTATGGATTGCCGTACACTCCTCGCTACACCACAGTGTAACACCACAGAGCCTAAATGTGGTGGGCAGTACGTGTACTATGGCCTAGAAAAGGGGATCTGTCAGTATTTAAGTCAGATAAAGGGCAATGATGTACACCTTAGTGTAAACATAGATGGTGTCCCACTCTTCAAAAGTAGTGGTGTTCAGTTCTGGCCAATACTGGTGAAGTGTGGTCATTTGGATCCATTTCTGGTTGCGATGTTTAGTGGACAAAGTAAGCCAAGTCCACTTGAAGATTTTCTTAAAGACTTTGTGACTGAATACAAACATCTCAAAGACAATGGTATAGTTTATAAAGRCCAGACTTACACTKTGAATATTGATTCACTGATCTGTGATGCGCCAGCAAGGGCGTATCTGAAATGTATCAAGGGTCATACTTCCTATGAGAGCTGTGAAAGATGTTTAATAAGGGGTGCTCGTGTTGAGGGAAGAATCGTTTTCAGTGAAAATGAATGTACTGTTAGAACAGATGACAGTTTTTCAAGAATGGAGTACAGGAACCACCAAACAGATGTGAGCCCTCTCATTGCTGCAGGAATTTCTTGTGTTAGCTCGTTTGTGTTAGATTACATGCACATGGTCTGTTTGGGAGTAGTTCGACGCCTCTTATTTTACCTGACTCGTGGCCCAAAAACCAGTCGCTTATCTGTGAGACAAAAGAATGAAATCTCCAGAAAGTTAATTGCACTCAGAGGGAAGATGCCAAGTGATTTTTCACGGCAACCTCGCGGTTTGCATGAAGTTGATAGGTGGAAAGCCACTGAACTGAGGCAGTTTTTGCTGTATACAGGACCTGTCGTTTTAAAAACTGTGTTATCTCCTGAGAGATACAAGCATTTCTTGTCTCTGACAGTGGCCATGTCAATAATGCTGGAGTCAGATGACAGGATTCGAAATGCCTATCTTCAATATGCTGAAGAACTAATGAAACATTTTGTCATGAGCTGTGCTAAACTGTATGGGAACACTTTTCCTGTATACAATGTGCATGGACTAATTCATCTCCATGAAGATGTCAGGCACTTCAACTGTTCATTGAACGATATTTCATGTGAAAACTACCTCCAACAGATAAAAAGACATGTGAGGAGTGGGAGAAGTCCACTTGAGCAAGTCACCAGGCGTTTGGCAGAAATGGAACGCTCAGAAGTGAATGAGAGCAGAATGCAACCAAAAGTGTTTGCTTCTCTAAAAGAAAGGGACAGTTGTTTTCTCTTAAGAGATGACACGTATGCGTTTGTGAGACAGAAAAATGCTGATGGCACCTTCGTTTGTGAAATCCTGCACCAGCGTCACACTTCACCTTTTTTTCACCAGCCATGTAATTCTGGGCTTCTAAATATAGTGTTTGTGGGAAATGGTCAGCTCAAAATGAAAAAACGTGTACTAGGTGAAAGAGATCTGTTCCGCAAGGTGGCCTTCCTTCCACAAGAAACTGGTGGTTTTGTCCTCCTACCTCTTCGCCATCATCAGGAACATAAATGAAGGTTGGGGTTTTTTTTTTCTTTTGTTTAGATCCCAGCAGGGTGTCATTGCAGCATGTCACTCTTTCCCATCTATTTCTTTTATTTATCCCTTATTAACCTATTCCTTCTCATAGCATTCCATCACCTTCTAATGTAGCCATTAGTGATCAATCATTTTTGCCACCTCCAACTCGTGTTTGCAACTTGTCAACTGATGATTTGTTTAAAGTTTTTTTTCTATGCCATTGCAGAAAAATATTCTTTGTAAATAAATGTCTGCTACAGGAATTGAAGGAAACGTAAATGCTGTCCTTCCAGGTCATGTATGCAAGGGCTGTTTGGAAGGAACATGAACAGGAGGAGGAGGGTGTAGTTCCTGTCAACTGGATTGACAGGAGCAAGAACATAATTTGGTGGCCTAAAAACATGAGCACCACAAAAATAGAACGTGCACTGAAGGATAAAATCAACCCTGGCAATGACTGGATGACGTTCCCATTAATAAAGATCAAAATGACTTCAGGCAAGTTTTGACAATTTAAAAATGAAATGCATCTCATAATCAAAATACTGTAATGTGTGTTTTTTTTATTATTCTTTTTTTCTCCCTTTTAGTTAAACGTCGTGAGTGCGAAAGTTACAACTTCACTAGTCATGCAGAGGATGATGATGAGGACCAGGACATGGCAACAACTTCAAAAAGAATTCGCACTAAAAAGGGAGCTCCAGCAGGTTTTGTAAGCGGTATGTTTGTCAGTGTCAAGTGTTTATGTTTGTAATCTATTGACGTAAACTGGGTCTGAAATTTTAGACGTCATTTGTGAATTTATTTTGCAGACTTAACTTCGGATGAGGAAGAGAGCATCAATGGTAATGGGTTTTCTATAGTTTCAAATGTAATAATCTTTTAATAAGACCTTATTTTATTTTGAGTGGGCATGCTTGTTTTTTTTTTTTTTTTACCTTTTTGTGTAGGTGTCAGACTGCCGAATTTTCCAACAGCACCACAGAAGCTCCCTTCTATTCACAAGAACAATACTGGTGCGTGCTTATGAGGTTACTTTTTGTGACTATTTACATCTTTATGAGTGAATCTCCACTCATCCAGTCCAGTTTGGTAATTATTTACAC